AACGGAGAGTCTCCAGACTGATCTGCGAGTGAAACCTTGAAAGCTCGCGAGATCAGGATGGTCTCACGAGGCTATGTATTGAGTACTTTTACAAGAGAATATCTAATAAATATTGTGGCCGTGCATTCCCACTTATATATAAGTAACAATAAATTTATTTTATATAAATAACCAAATTCAATACCTTTTTGGTTTCTGACAAATCTATGAATAAACTTTCTTATTTACCAGTTAAGCTAAGAGAGGTGCCTGAGTCCAGTCCTTCTGAGCTAATATCCTGCTTTTAGATAAGCACATCTAAATGAAATGGCCGAGACCCCTCATTGTGATTTCCTTCAGCTCTGTAAAAGAGGCAATGACCCATTCAGTCATTTGAATCAATACTGTTGGAGAACAGATGCATCTAAAAGTTGCAGGATAGTAGCTCTTGAGGACTGAACGAGGGCACTCCTGAGCAAAAAGCTGGTTCATTTTATTTCTCCTCTAGAAAGCAGTGACACAATCTCACAACTGTTAGAGTTTGATCACATACTTAAGTATATAGTGAAAAACTTCAATTAAAAAAGTTTGTGCTATTAATCTATGTAATTAATTTCTGAGTTAATTTGCTACTTTTACAAGAATATAGCTTAAAATCCCAAAGTTTAAATCATCTCAAATTTCGTTCTTGGAGGTAATGATGAGCCCACTGCTGCTGTCACAAAATATTAATCCCAAAAAAAACTATTTTGGTAAATAATGATTGGAAGGTTTGTGCCATGGAAGTGCAGCTGAGTAATTTGCAGTAAAATATAGGGGAGTGTTGGCCAAATGGTTAGAGCAGGTTGCAAGTGTAACCTGGTTGTATTTCTCTTGTGTTATAATTACACAAAATGCTTTAATTTGGCTATTTGTATTGTTACTCACCTGACTGAAAGACCTTTAGAAAATATGTCATTGTTTTAACTGTGCTACTTTAAGAGTGGAAGCCCCTTCTTTTATTTATTTATTTATTTTTTTCTGTGGCATTGTCTTTAAATTGTTTGCACATCTTAGACCCTCCCCTTTTGTCATGTTGTCCTGTGGGAGAGGTGCGTGCTATTTATTTTTCATCTAAATAAATCCAGTTTATTTATAGATCTATTAAGTTAACTTCTGTTTTGTGTAGGACTTGGAGCGGGCAGCCTATAACACCGTTGTTTTCTTATGTGTTGTTCTCGTCAGGTACAATAAATTAAGAAATCACCCTTTTAAAGAAAAAATGCCTGATCACTTAATAAAACCAGCACAACGCGGAAAGGATCCGGTTACACAAGTACCCGGTTCAATCCCCATAGCCTCCATTCTGGGTCCCTGAGCCAGACCTTTAACCCCACACTGCTCCCCGGGCGCTGCACAATGGCAGCCCACTGCTCCCCAAGGGGATGGGTTAAATGCAGAGGTAAATTACTCCAATGTGAGATCAATAAAGTTCAATTATTATTATTTAATGGATATTATTTGCATTTCAGCAGTGATCCAAACGCCTAAAGAATGTTCCCAACTTTGAATCTCACAAGAATGGCAGTTCTAAAAAAAAAAAAAAGGAGCGTCTCCACCTTGTTTCTCGTTAAGCGTATCTAATAAAGTGCCTGGCAGGTATAGTAGCCCTAAATTATAGTTAGATTTTGGATTTAATAAAAGGAGAGAAAAAAAATTATTCGGCTTAACAAATCAAGAAGAAGAAAAACGAACCTAAAAAAATGTTAGATGGTGCATTTAATTCTAAGGGAATATTTATAATATGGTAACATACTTTAAAGATAAATTATTAAAAGCTATTAAATGCAAACAAAGAAACAAGCTAAAACAATGTAATGT